CAGACAAGTCAGCACACCCTGGTGGGGGGCAGGATGAGACTTATTTATTTTAGGTTTGTTGACTAAAAAAATAAAAGGGTTAAAACTAGATTTCTATTCTACCATCACCACTAGAACATTATATTACAGCTTTATACATTTATCTCTAAACCTCCCTGTAGTCTTGCAAGATAGGTGTTATAAACTCTCTTTTACAGATGAGAAAACTGAAGTTCAATGAGGCTAATCAGTGCACTGACTTTGTAATCAGACACTCCTGGATCTGAATTCTGATTCTGTCACTGAGAGACTGTGCAACCTTGGACAAATTAAAATGACTTAACTTCACTCAGCCTTGACTTAAACATCTGTAAAATGGAGATATCCTCTTAGAGTTACTTTAAGAATTACATGAGATAACCTATGTAAAGTGCCTGGCACATAGTAAGTGCACAATAAATGGTAGCTCTTGTTATTACTGTCCGAGGTTAGGTGCAAAACCAATCAGGTCCATCCAGCTCCAAGTGCTTTCTACAAGGCCAGGTGGCTAACAATGTGATCACGAATAAGTAACGGGTTCTCGTCTCATTTGAAGTCTTGATCATTCCTTGACAACACTTTTGTATTTTTAAATTATAATTATTTGAGTTACCATTTTTCAAGCCACAAGGTAGACACTACTTGTACTGCCACATGTCAAACTCTAATTTACTTACCACCACCTCGACAGGCATTCCTTAATTCTTCAAACATTAATTTTTCCAGAGCATCATTCACATAGAAAACTCCTTCAACCTGGTACCAAAGAAAAGGAAGAATTATGTCTGAGCACATGGACCTGATGTATATAAGTACAGGATAGAACACAAACACTGTAGGCAATATTTATTTTGCTTTACTCTTTATAAAACACTTTCACGCTACCTTAAACAAGCAGAAAACTTCTTACAAGATGTTCCCATCTTTATATCTTAAAAGTGTATTTTACAATGTTCACAAATCATTTTGTTTATTCTCCTACTCTCATAGGCCATATTTAAAAGTTCAACAGGTAAAATATTTTGTGTGTGTGTGTGATAAAGAAACGTCTTCCAACAATGCTCTAAGGCCAAAGGTCTCAGTATTCTTGTGCTTCTAAAATATCAGTAGGTTTTGAAAAAAATAAATGAATCAAAAACTCAGATCTAAACATAAAAATGCAGTCATCTGACCTAAGTGTACTTTTTCTAGATCTAAGACAACAGCACACTACACTTTACTGTGTCCTATTCTGATTTACAAATCTGTACTTAGGTAAACAGTGAGTAAAAAAATTTTAACAGGTAGCTATATAGCTGTGTGCTTAGTTTTACCATCTATGTAATTTTAAGGGGATAAAAAAGCTTGACAATAGAGGCACACAAAGGGCAATGGAAGACATGGTTATGTAACACCAAAGGACAGAACATTTTAATCAGAGATCAAATATTATGAAGGATCTGCCTAGCATTGAAGAACCAAAGATTTAACAATCATCTGGACAAGGAAATTTATGTATCAGAAAGATGACTTCTGCATCTTACCACTGCATGAATAACAATACCAGTTATGGAAAATGTCTCAATTTTCCAAAGGGCCACATTTATTAATTCACCAAACGTTTGCTGAGGACTCGTTATGTGTCCGGCACTGTGCTGCGCAGTAGGGGAGATACAGAGAATATGCAAGATCGTGATGTTGTGGAACTTCTGGTCTAGCATGAAGCTCAGACTAGAAAATGTAGAGTGCAATGAGGCAAGTGCTGTAATAGACGCACAGGGTACTACGGAAGAATCTGATGAAGAAGGGGCTCAACAGTCTAGGGAGGCGGTAGCCGGGGTGGGGGTGCGCTTCACAGTTTGTTAATTTTTTGTGAACACTGAGCTGGCTCTTTAAAGACAACAGACATTACTGGAGCAGCAGCAACACATTTAGGAACTGAATGGAAAGATGACATAAAGATGGGAGAGAAGTATTTTTAAGGAACAAAGAGGAATTTTTAGTGCAGCACACGGTTCTTACAGGAGGAATGGAGATTAAGCAAGAGAGATAGGGAATTGTAAGTGTGAAGTTCACTACTCTCATGAGACTGGGAATACAACACAAGCCTACCATAAAGGTCAGTAGCTTTTTAAGAGCAATATATCAAGATTTCAACTCTCCCTTCCCAAGGGAGGGGTGGTAGTAAAGTGTTGTTCAAATAGTTAAACTGGAACTGCCTAGCAAAAATCAGACTTGTCCCCAAGCTGAATTAGCAGGAGTGTGTGCATCAAAAGTTAAGCCAGAATTGCTGACGGAACATAACAGTGTGTGTTACAATCCCCTTAGGATGGTCATATGCTTTTTATTTTCTACTTCATGCAGGGAACTGGATTCCATAAAAAGAAACTAGTCAAAGGAAAAAACAGAGCAAAAGGGAGGTTTGCGACTATGGGCTTTTTCTCCGCTCAGCGTCTAGCTAAGTGCTTTGCTCATAGGGGGCGCTCAATAAGTTTTAATATTGAGTAAAAGGGTGGAGCGGCTATCAGGAACTTTTACCAAGACGCAGGATCACAAACCTTCAATACACTTGCAGGGCACCTAAAGGGATTTCAAAAGCCGTCTAACAACATATGCACCAAAACCTCACAAATGCCTTCTTCTTCATTTTAATGGAAGACCATAAGCACAAATGACAAGGAAGCCCAAGAGATACAGAGACCTGGCTTTCAAACTCTCTGGTATCGGGCTCCCAAGTCTCCATCGGGAATACGTCATCCTGTCAGAGGAAAAATAAGTGAACTGGACATCACGTCTTAGCTGAGCTTCTACTGGGTGAGTAAAGGAAGCCGTTTAACCGACTCACGCTCAAAGCCCTACTAAAAAGTGCATATTAAAAAGAAAAAACCTGCCCTGTGAACTTTCTAGGTTGCCACGAGAAGCAAGATCGTTGTATTAAAACCCCGCGCATGTCAATTAAAACAACAACAACAAACCCAACACGGAGCAGTGAATGCTAGAAACTTGGTTCAGCGAACACAGGTCAGTAAACGTTATGTAAATGACTGGTATGACTCAGAGAAGCGGAGTTCACTCCCAGCAACTGCACCCCGGACTGGCTGTGCCACCTAGTAAAAGCCCACTAATGTCTCTAAGGCTCAGGGACGTAACACATCTCACGGTGCGTTCATGAGACTTCTGTGTGAAGACGCTTTGCAAAGGCCAATTTCGTATTTACTGGGATTCCCTGGACGCACTCCGCTTTGCTGGTCCTCGCGGTTCGGGGACCTCTCCATCCGTGAGGTGGGGCCGGCATAGGGTGGGCAGCCCCGGAGGCGGGAGGAGTGGGTGGGGTGGGAGTTGGGGGATGGGAACTTTGCTGTGGGCGGGGGCCTCTCCGGCGCGCGAGGGGTCGGGAGGGCTCGAAGGAGACCGGGCCGGGTGGGTAGAGACACGCCGCGGGCCCCCAGCCGGGAAGGCCCCGACACCGGGTCCTGCTCCCCCGCCTCACCTGCATGTTGGGCACGAAGCCCTTCTTGATTCTCCAGCAGCTTTTATTGACCTTTTCCAAGAACTGCAGTTCATCGTTATAACTGCGGCTCATGGCGTCGACAAGAGTGGCGAAAACTCCCGGCTTCGCTTTGAAGAGCAGCTGCCGCGTTGTCCCGCTGACCGAAACACCAACTTCCGGAACTCAACGCGCAGGCGCGGCCAGCTCCGCGGCAGGATGGGCGACGGCTAGCGCCGAGGCTCAAAACTCGTCGCACCAATCGCTTTTTTTTTTTTAAGTTAGACTGTCCTCTAGCGTTTACCTTTTTGGATGTTAACTAGTCATTTTCTTCTAGGCTAAAGCTAAGCTAAATGCAGTGCAGTAGTTTTTAGTATGATCTAGTTATCCTTCGTTTTGGAAGTGTTTTCCAGCACTGAAAAACACACTGAATCGGGATCAGGTCCAGTTGTTCTAAAGAATCCATCTGCTTGGAGTTTACATCCCTAGTAGTGAGGGGGGAAGAAATGTCTGCAGCCGAGAAAGAGAAACATGTTTAAATAAATACCACAACGGAAATTTTGTAATGTTTCAGAACGAATTTGTGAACACATTAAATAACTTTTCTTTCAGAAAAGGGCATTCCAAAGAATGAAACGTGACAGCTTATCATTTATTCCAACAACACTGACAGGGGCTTCTATTACGGGGGTATCTATTGCTATTTTATGAGCAATACGAAGATGGGTAAATGGCAGTCCCTATGGATAGCCAGAGCTTCCCAGTCCAGCCCTCTGTGATGACTAAGTACTCCGTGATCGCGCTTTTATCCAGTGTCGCTTCTTCACAGTAATAAGTGAGCTTTAAGTGCCTTCGGTTTCTAATCCTACCTCACGTAAAGAACAGCGACTTTGAAATCAGAAAGGCTTCGATTGAATTTTTACCTCTGCTGTTTACTGGCTTTGTGTGATTCAGCTCTTTTAACCTTTGTTTCTTTATCTATAAAATGGGATCATAATTCTTCACAGAGTGGCTGTGAGGATTAAATGAAATGACACTTGGTAAGCCCTCCAGTAAACAGCTCTCTTCCATTCCCCCACTGGATTGTCAGCACCACAAATGCAAAGTGTGGTTTCTATTCATTTCCTACATTATCCATACGGGTTCCCCTTTCCTCCTCTTCTGCCCCAATTTCGCCCCATTGATTGGTTGCTTTAACTTAACCTACTGTGATTTATCTAGGTTTAGTACTCTTCACTGCCATTTCATTTAATTTGAAAGGAAAAACAGGCTAAAACTTAAACAAGTGATACAACTTCTAGAGTTTCCTGTGTTCACTCTGTTTCTCTCTGGAAACATCTAAAGAGACAACATATTCCCTTTTTAAATCAAGGACTTAAAATTCTTGAAATTCTTGAATTCTGTACAAGCTCAGTTTGTGTTAACGTTAAGGACACTAAATTTTCTTCTTACCAGTCTTATTTTATTAAAAAAAAATCTGGGGCAAGAAAATCTGCAAATAAAAAGGCAAAATTGACATTGATAGCAAACAATTTTAATTAAATACAGGGGACAGTAACAGTAAATATAAAACATAAAATCCAATATGCAGGGAGGGGGGAACCCTAGAGAGTTGAAGGGGTTGAAGGGATCACCGCTGATAACAACTGATGCAAATCTGTATTTAAGAGTTTCTCATGCACCTCCTTAGAAGTACATGCCTCACCCTTGGCCCCAGAATCTCACAGACACAGGAACATACAACATGCACTCAAACATGAACACACATTCAAACATATACCCCTCCACACACATGGGAACACACACATCCTGACTGAGCTCTTTCACCCAGTTTGCCTCCCTCTACATCCATGAGGGCTTGAAAAAGAAAACTTCCAGCAATTCGCAATGGCTTTACAATTCCTGTGTGTACCATCTTCCCGCTCTGGCTTTACAGGAGCTGTGGGATTAAGGGCGATTTACTTCCTGGAGTGGACTCCAAACAGGCAACCAAGGGGCTGGCTTCCCCCTCCACTGTCCACTTATCAGGTTCAGAACTTCCCAACCATGGAAACTTGGCTGCTGCTTTAAGGACGTTTTATACTTCAGGTCAGTGGAAATCAAAAGGAAACCCTGAAAAGGATGCAACAATGAAGATATCAAACTTGGGGCACCTGGAGCCATAGGATGTCTGAGTTTGCCTGAGGGGTTGGGGAGATGTGGTTTCTTTACCAGGTCCTACTGTGCAATACCCTTCCTAACCCCTGTCCCCCTTGTGAGTGCCTCAGACATAGGAACAGGCCATTTTGGATTCTTGTCACCTTATGTGACTTAAGCAGTTATAGAAAGGGACATGGGGAGGGAAGAGGGAGTGCAGGGTAGTATATAGGATTGGAGAACTCTGTCAGAATCTTATGTTCACCTCCCCAAACCAAAAAGCCCCAGAAAGAAAGAAACAAGGTATTCTGAAGTTTGTCAATAATGATTAACCAGGAAACAGCTCACAACAGATCCCTGAACCCAGAGGAGGGTCTTTGGTTCAGGCAAAAGTTTACTGAGAGAATCAGAAGAGTCAGTCTAGTCTCAGATATGCCCTTTTCCAGGACACAAGCCACTTCACCTCTCTGGATCTTACTTTCCTTATCTATAAAATGGGATTAATAATCCCAGCCTTACAAGTTGTCTTGTGGAACAAATGAAATACAGTGCACTAGTGCATCTTCTTGTAGTGTGGTGTGAATAAACTTGGCTTCAAAGGGAAATCAGACTTGGTCTGACGGGGTTTTTTCCACTTTGATCTGATTTTTAAACTCAAGTTTAAGTGCTTTTCATTGTTAATTATGGGCTTTAAGAGCTAAACATCTTATTTATGAAATTCCTCGGGCTGGGAAAAAACAAAGCAAAACAAAATAAAACAAAAAGCAAGCAAAATAGGAAGAGGTATATTTTACTATGAAAAGAAATGGGGCAATTAACATTGACAATTCTTACCTCAAGAACTTCAATATCTGAATTGACAAGTGAGATTTTGTGTGGATTGGGCAGAGGAAATCCTTGCTGCAATTTTGCTAAAATATAGAACAAGATGTAAAATAATTGGGCATGGGCATGGAAGATTTAGTAAACCTTTTAGTAAGAGACTAACAAGAAACTTTTAGATAATTTATCTTTCCATTCTTCCTGGTTCTGTGTCTTCATTCTCTCTGATATGTCCCTAGCATTTCCCTGAAAGAATGGCTAATTAATCTGTGCTTAATAAAAATGCACCTGCAACTATGGGCATTTGGATGGCAGAAAAATGCTGGCAACTTGTCCAATTTGTATTTTGAAAATACCTTAACTAGTGGGTCCTGAGAATATTCTGATCTCCAGTACAAAGCATATTTTAACCAAGCCAAACTCAAGATGCTACAGTTTGTGAACAATTGCAGTGTAGGGAGAAGGCCTAGGATTGTCATTCATTAAAACTGTGTCTGTCCAGATGGTGGTCTTTGCATAAGAACCACAGAGACACCTTCTAAGGATCATCATCTCATTTCTGGTTGACCCGAAGGAGACTCTTGACTGCCTAAGGAGAGTGGTTTTAATCTCCTTAACTCAAACAGAGTTAGCTGTTCTTGCTGAGTCTGCAAGTAGAGTTGCTAACAAGGCCTGGACCTGGAATATCTAACTTCAAAACTGTATCGTTGTTGGTACAGACTCTGTCAATTCTGGTGCTGGCCTCGATTCATAGGAACACATTAGAAGTACAAGCTTCAGGATGGAAAGTCCCAGACAATCACCAACACTTAGCCAATGTCAGTGTCACATTGTTTCCCAAGAATCCCTTACCATTGGCCAGTGGGAGGACTCCGAAGTGGAGAATGGAAGACAGAATATTCTCAAACCTCAAGACCTAAAATTAAAGGGGAAACGGAATCAGTTGCCAAATCAGGGCATTTTGAAAGCACCACACCTGGTTTGGACATGTACTCTCCCAGTCTTTATCAGGACTGAAAGCAATAATTAGCATCTCCCCATAGAGATACTCTAGCTTTCCAGACACTGAAAGCTATTTTGTGGGAAGCCATTTTACAGGGTTTCCTAATCTTTTTTCCTCTTTGAGGATGGACATTTTGGTTCCTCTCTACAGTAGATCATGGTGACAACAAATGCAGAGGGACCACATGGTGGCAGCAAACATAACAGCTTAGATACTTAACAGGTAAGATAATCCTGAATGACTAATAGATATTCCAATTAGTAGTCTTCCATTAATTTATTGGGAACCCTGGCCACAGGAGTTTCCTTGTATTATATTATGCTCTATAGCTAATAGCACCACCAGAACATGCAATTTATCTTTAATAAGCTATGGTAGTTGTATAATCTTAGCAAACTGCTGGTTCCTGGGAAGATTTAGGTATTAAAAGCAAATGCACTATGATGAATATCAGTTCATTCAGTGAATATTTTTTAAGCATCCTATATGCTTAGCAATAATAAGAACCTCTTTGAAGCTTAGCAAGGGTGGCTCTGAAGCAGATGTTCTAGGTTTATCTCTTGTTTTTACCATTTTACTGTGTGATGTTGGGAAACATCTCTCTGTGCCTCAATTTCTCAACTGTAAAATGAAGATAATAGTACTAATCTCAGAGGGTTGTTATCAGGATTAAACAAGTTAATATTATGTAAAATGCCCAGTATATAGCATTGTCATTTTTCAGAGATGTCTACAAACGCTGCCAAACGCCCGTGGAGGGGAAAATTGACCCTCGTTGAGAACCAGTGCTCTAGAACATAATTGTTGAGAACCAGCGCTCTAGAACATAAGCGTTGAGAACCAGCGCTCTAGAACATAAGCGTTGAGAAGCAGCGCTCTAGAACATAAGTGACATGAGGGTAGAGGCACCAATTAGTGATCTGGCTGATCTTCCTGAAGCTTGGGGAGGGGGGTTTCCAAGTCGAATGTTGGGATGACCTCTTCCAGTCAGGAGGTCACCAGGCTAGACCCTCCGAAGAGGCACCTACACAACCTCCTAAAATTAGGCACCTTGACCTAATTTTAGGAGATGGGTAGATATCCTTTTAAGAGCAAACCTAATCGTAGTCTAATAATTATATAGAGCATCATCCTTTGGTAGTCTGAATCTTAAGTTTAACTCTAAAGGATTATTTTATCCAAAAAATGAAATGTCTGGGTCCTTCTCCCCAATATTACACAGTCTTAACAGTCTTTTGAGTTCTTTTGAAAGTCTTTTTGAATAGATAAAGGTAAATTGGAGAGTTTAGTAGTTAACAGGCTTGGTGGATGAGTAGCTACATAAAGAATTTTAAAGTTAAAACCTACAATCAGAGGCAAAGAAAACAATCATCCAGCTACTATATAGGAAAATTCTCATTTTTCCCTGTACGGGGACTCTGAGAGCTCTGATTCCTACCTCAATATTGCTGCGAATGGACTCTGGCAAAGAGAGGCGGAATCTGAAAACAAAACAAAGCAACAAAAACCAATGGGAAAAAGTTAAAGGAGGGAAGACTTAAAAACAACCATATCGGAAGAAAGAAACAAAAAGGAAAGGGAACTTTTTTTTTCTTTAGTTCAATAAGCCGTTATTCAAAAAACTACACAAACTTTTAAGAATATAGTGTTCTAGTACATCTTTACCCCTATATTTGCTGCTTAAGAAGAAGAGCAGGGGTAACAGAAAGCTTGGATTTGTAACCAGGATGGGTTGCCCAAGTGCATTTGCTATATGCAACTTACTGTTGGCCACTTGGAATGCAGAACATTCTTAAGAAACAGTGTTTAGGTCTTCTTGCTCTGAACTCAACCATATAACTTCCCCGAGTCAGGCCGGTCCCTTATTAATAAATATGACAATGATGATGGTGATGGTGGTAGTGCCACTGCAGGACGTGGACTATTCTGGGAGCTTTGTAAACATTCAAAAATTTAATATTCATAATGACCCTGTAAGAAATGCTACTATTACTGTCCCTTTGGCAGACAAGAAAACTGATGATCAGAGAGGGAAAGTAAATTTCCCAAGTCACAGAGTCAGCAACTGATAGGTGCAGGTGACAAATCTCACCCTATTTGACTCTTAAGTTCTATGCTCTGTCTAGGCCACACCCCTCTGAAGGAGGTATTACATGTATAATTTTTTTAACGGCTCAGTCAGAACACATAAGGGAAACGTTAGCTGTGATGGCTACCTGATATGAAAGGCAGCATAGTATAATTGTTAAAGAATAGGGACTCTGTAGAATGCCAGAGTTTGAATCCCATGTCTGCCTCTTACTATATAGAATTACTTACTCTCTCTGGATCTTAGCTGAATAAGAATGGTCCCTACCTTATAGGACTATAGTGAAGATTGAATGAAATAATGCACATAAAATGCCTAGAACTGTGCCTAGCATATCCTTAGCACTCGATCAATGCTGTTATTATAACTAGGAGAAATGCTAACAGTTAGGCCAGCACATAATGCCCTTGATATTCTTTGTCAAATACAGAACCTTTGCTATAGGTCCCATTAGCAGGGAGTCCCTCACCTCCCCAACACTGCCTGTCCTGATGCTTGATATTTTGTAATTTTCATGATAAAGCTAAAGGCCAGCATTGCCTCTTTCCCCATTTTTCCAAGGACCGATCCACAGGTAGTCCTCCCAACATACACACTCGATGTTCAATGCAATAGTAATAGTAAAATGAAGCAATAGTAATCAATAGCAATAGTAATATGAAACAATAGTAATCAATAGAATTGTACTATGGAGCAATAGTAATCCACAGGGAGGATTCCTTCATTTTACACATGGGAAAACTGAGGTCCAAAGAGGGGAATATTAATGGCAGATTTGGGACTGGAACACAGATCTCTTGATGGCACCCCAAAGCTCCCTTCTATTATACGATGTTGACTCATCTTGTTTTCCCTATTTAGCTTCCTATGGCTCACTTTTGCCCAGGTCTAGAGTCTTACTTCTGTATCATCCCTCCAGTGGAACTCCCTGTTTTCAGTCTTGATTCTCTCCAATCCATCTTCCACACCATCCCCAGAGTGAGCTACATTTACACGCATGTCTGACGAGGACGTTCTCCTGCTCAATATTCTTTCCTGGTTATGATAGAGTCCTAGTGATTCATACAGCACAGGAGGCTTTCTGTATCCTGACTCCCAGCTGCCTCTCTGTTCTCATCTTTCATTCTCTACCTTGAATTTTTTTTTAAGTTTAGCAATCATTTAATGTATTAACATTTTCACTTATAAACATACAATTTGCATGTACAGGGAAAAATAGGTTCTGAGGACACAACAGAATACTAGAGACTGGCAAGCAATCAGAAAAAAAGATCAACCTAGGGGAAAAAAATGGAACTGCATCCCATGCTGGTGTCTACATAAACTTGGGAAGCAGAAAGATAGATCACACGGTATCACAATTAATGCAGAAAATAAATGTGGGTCATTTTGTCTCAATGACAGGAACTTCTCCCATGATCCAGATCTTGGGTCCCGGTCTGGCCCGTTTCATGAATGATGATCTGAAACAAAATCACGGGTCTCTCCCTTCTCTTTACATCTAAGACCCTGAAGTTAACTCAAGGAATTAAAAGAACAGAGCTAAGAAACAAGCAGACTGGCATGTGTGCAATGTCAAAGGCCAACTAGTTAAAAGTACACACGGAAGTAAAATACTGACTAAACCTGAACAAGTTCCTTCCAACTCACCTAACTTCTTGATTTAGGATTACCTAAGTGTTGGCATCTATGAGAGGTGGGGCCAGGGAAATGAAGTATCTCAGCTCATCTTTATACCGAGCATGCATTTCCTCTCAGGATCAAGTCACTAGTGACATTGAACTTCCAGACTCAACTACAGTTGCCCAGTGGGGCTGGTCCCACTGGGGACAGGGACTGGAGATGCGGCGGAATACGTGTGCCCAAGCTTCAGTCCATAGCTCTCCCCCTTCTGACAGAGGGAAGCCAGGGGAACACAGGGAGACCATCTGCTTCAAGGGCATTTCACTGACATAACTCAGTATCTGTGGTTCCAGTAACTCCAAGTTCAAAATTAATACCCTGATGTAACATTAAAAACTGAGTTTAGTGTTTTGTAAGTAAAGCATACAGCTCAAATAATGATTACCATCTGAACAAACCCATTCTTATTACATACGATGTAAAATAACTAAAGTAACATTTATAACCATCAAAACCAGTGTTCTCACACATCACATCTGGCAACTTTCCACCATGTCAAACATCCAAAGAGATGACAGCCAAGTATACTTCTTTTCAGCTGGAAACAGACTCTCCAGAGTCAACAAGTGCAACAGAATTGACTAGGAAAACAGACCTGTGGTCACCACAAAGTTCATTTGGCATCTGGTTTCGTATGGAGGTAGATCTATTTAAGTCTGCCTTAGAGGTGGAGTGCGTTGATCAGTGGAACAAAAGACTATGTATGTAACTGGCCACATAGAATACAAACAGAATTTGGGCTACTAGGAGTGTATTTTATGGAAAATAGGGCCACATGGAATACAGGGGCAGAGACCTTCAATGTGCTAAACTGCCTTTGTAAAAGTACATTTTTTAAAGCATGCAGGACAGAAAACTGGAATAATTGAGGTTTTAAAATTTACATAAATAAAGAAATAAGAAATAACAGAAATGCACGACTCTCAGTTTTCCAGAGCTTCACACATAGTTGGGGCTCAAATTAAATGGTTTAAGCTTCTCTGTAACATTTGAGTCAAGAATAAAAACAAGGCCGGTGTCCTGATCAGGTGGAGTAATACATTGAGCAGGTTATTCATGTCCTTAGGCCGCAATCCCCATCTGTAACCTGAGTCTCCCCAACCATGCCACCCATGGGGGCTGCACGCACCCCAGTGCTTGGGGACAGCCACAGAGCCCCAGTCCTGCACAGGACAGGAAACGGGCTCTTTAACAGCCTTCAGAAGGGTGGAAAAGAGGATCCTCAGTGCAGCCCAATCCCCTGAAACAGCACTGTAACTATGGCTCTCATTCCACTTTCCTCACCATTCTCTTAATATTACTTTCTCAACAAGTAGAAAAATAAGCTATAAGTAGGCTGAAGTGGCAATAAAAACAGTCAAAGTAAACACTAAAAACATGATGCCTCTGAATAAAGCAAATCTACCTCCACATACTTGTTTGTAATTGTTTTGCCTTGTTCAAGTTTTAAATGATAAAGCCCTAAAACGCTGAGACTCAAGTCTACTCCTAATTTGAGATGTTTTCCAAGGATCGATACCAAAAACAAACTAGTAAAAATAAAATGAAAAGGCATCATTTTAAAGGGGGGGATCTGCCATCCCGCCCATCATCCTGAGCAGTCAGCTTTGCTGGGAGCCCGCAGGGCCCCAGAGGCTGTGGGCATATCACACCGCTGCCTCAGGAAGGTTCCAGCCTACGACTCCTGAAGTAACGTGCAGCCAGTTCTGGTCTGAGGTTTCAAAGTCTGGCATTAAGACAAAACAGCTGCAGTTCTTCTTGCCCTAATCACTCACTCACTCATACATCACCATGTAACTAGTGTAATACTAAAATAAACTATCCCTTAAGCACTAAGGCCTAACTCTAAAAGGAAAATGGCCTTTCCAAACAGGTGTGTTCAAATAAGGTATTCTGAGAGCGCCATAAAAAACTCCTAGAATGAGCCAGTGCCCCCAAATAGTCCACGTTTTAGCTATACAGCAGTCCAAAGTCTTCTCTGTGGTATTTATATGGATTAGTTATAAGTATGATGTCACCACTTTCAAAAGAACTACTAAAACTATTATTAAAAACATTTATAACAAACAGAAATGCCCTGCAAAGTATATTATTGCACACAGGGTATCAGAAGCTATGCACATCCAGGTTCCAAGGACTCTAGGAGACCCAGAACAGAGACCCTAAGGCCATGCCTGTGGCTGCTGCAGCCAGCATGCCCAGCGCCAGGTCACTGTCATTGTCTCAATACCGCTCACAAATGATGACTTGGTTGGCAGGCTGCTGTCCATAAAGTCCTGCATATGGGTACTGATAGGGTACAGCATAAGCCTGCCTGTTCGCAGCATAGAAAACTTGAGCTCCCGGCAGGTATGCACCACTGCATGGACCATAGCCATCTGCATCAGGGGTTGGTGCAGCATAGGCTGTGTAAGGAGGTGGGGAGGAAGCCATGGCAGTCTCATCATACATGACTTCTGAGCCAACATGAGCTGTGTTTGTCCTGGAATCCTGAAGTGTAAATTTCCAGGCCAAACAATCATCTGTGCTTTCTGCACAAAGACTGATGGTTTTCTCGTCTCGGCAAACAACCGGCAGCAGTCTTTTGCCTTCCCATCTGGAGGCCGAATATCCTGACATTCACGTCCCATGCGGACGCTGATGCAGTCCACTGGCATGTGCATCTTATCCTCTACACTCTGCCGAGTTTGGTCATCATAATAGGTCAGG